AATACTACCAACATTATCTTTTTTTTTAATTTTAAAATATTTTATTTATTTATTTATTTTTAGAGAGGGAAGGGAGGGAGAAAGAGAGAAAGAAACATCAGTGTGCAGTTGCTGGGGCTCATGACCTGCAACCCAGGCAGGTACCCTGACTGGGAATCGAATCTGCGACACTTTCATTCACAGCCCGCACTCAATCCACTGAGCTACACCAGCCAGGGCCAAAATTATCTTATTAATTTACTTATTATCTCTCTCCCACTGGAATATTTGTCTCCATGAGAACAGAGATCTATCTTAGTTACCACTCTCTGCTTGATCCTCAGACAGTGTTGGGCCCTGAATTAGTATTTTTTAAATTAATTATTTGTTGTAAATTCATGTTATGTTTTAATATCTGGTAGAGCTATGTCCACTTGATTACTCTTTCTCGTCACCGCGTTTTTATAAGCTTGTTGCAATGACTGAAACTCCTTCTATTAAATTGGACAGAAGTTCTGCTCCACACAGATACATGACTTAAAATGATTTTATTATTCTAATTCTTAAATTAATACTTGTTAATAGAAAATTTAGAAAATAGAACATAGTATATGGGGAAGGAAACAAGAAATCAAACATACTGCCGCAACTCAGAGATGGCATGATTGATTAATGCGAGATTCCTTCTAGAAATTTTTCTAAATGTATGTATACATGTATACATATATACACACATATGTATACATATATATGCATACATACACAAACACCCAAAATTAAGGATTCCATATACCCAATTCTACAATATGTGCATTGCGGGGGAGGGGTTTCTCACACCAGGAAGCTGTACTGGAACACCAGCTAGGTGTCCTACCCTTCGACTCAATTCTGACATAAGAACATGGAGGACAATGAGAGAGAACTCCCTTGGAAGGTGGAAGGTGGAGCTAAGGAACACAGAATACAATTCAGTGAGGGACAGCCTACTGTGAGTCAGAATTGGGGCCTAACGGAGGAATATTTCTACCCTGGTACAGAGACTCTTGCAATGTCTGCCTGGTAGGATTCCGGAATTGCCACAGATGATTGCTCTCTGAATCCCATTCTGCTCCTTTCTGAATGAATGTTTATGGTGATCACCCTGTTCTTCCTCTGTCATTATATATTAGGTATGGAGAGGGTGGGGAAACACAGACATTTGTTTGTTTAGTTCATGGGTCTCCATGTCAAGAGAAGCTACATCCAGGCCCCACCACTGTGAGCTCATGAACTTTGAACCTGACAGTGGGATAGGATAGAACTTTTCTGGTTATTTCCCCAGAAAAGGGTTTGCATATATTTTGCATGGAGGAAGAAAGGTAAACCTAATAGCTAATGATCAGAAGGGCTGATGGTGGTAGTCACTAGTCTTATCTGGTCATGCTTCACCCTTTGGGGCACTTTCTGGACTCCTAGTGGGTGGTAGTCAGGGGGAGCATGGGACTACTTTTTAGAAAATGAGTTATGAACATAAGAGAATATTTATACATGTAGTTGTCATTGTGAATTCCTCCCACATACTTTTCTCCAGTAAATAGGGTGGCAACCCTCAGCCTGGGTTCCTAAGTAATGATGATTCCCCTGAAACCCATAATAGACAGGTAATACCAATAAGCAATAACCTTTTTGTTTTCAGCCACCATGATTTTGGGGGGGCATTGTATGTTATCGCAGAATATATTTTGTTCAGAGTAGCCTATCCTGAACAAAATACCTATTTATTATCTGCCTCTTACATCAAAAATTAGGCTTAGTGAGGACCAGAATCTTGCCTATCTTGCTGTAAATTATATGCCAGATATTTATCACCACACTGGCTCCCGGTAGGTGCTCAATAAATACTTCTCGAATCAGTGGAAGGGTGAATTCTCTTAGCATAATTAAGGTTTTTGCTCTAGTAATAGCTCACTCCTGACAAAAATTTCTGTTATCAGTCAAGGTTGGCTCAGCATTGCTGCAGTAATAAACACCAAAATCTCAGTGACTTGAAACTACAAAAGCTTAATTATTATTTCACCGCACATCTGCTATGGGACAGCAGGGGAGTTCTGCTTATTCTAGTCCCTCAGGACCCCAGACTGACACTCGCCACTGTCTGTAAAGTTTCGGGTTGCTGTAGCAGAGGGATTAAAGAGCCCTCTAGGGTCTTGCACTGACTCACAGCCTGCTCATAACTCATATGACTCATTCTACTTCTGCCCATAACTAACAGCCCCAAATTAGTTACATGACATTACTCAGCCACAAGGAACCAGGAAGAGCCGTTCTCTCTGGTGCCCAGGATTGCAGACAAAAGCAAAGAGCTCTGGAACACCACCAATACCTAATAAAATAGATTAAAAAATAATGAAAATATTTGTGATAAGTGAGGTGAAGGGAAAAATAAAACTGGGCTGTATGGTCGAAGTCACTGAGGGACCTACATAAAGTGGGTGGTAATATTTGCATTGAAACTTCAAAGGTAAGAAGGAGGGGGCAAGAATTGAAAGAATATTTTAGACAGGAAAATAATAAGCATAATGGCCCTAGGGTGGAATAAGCTCGGTTTTTCCTGACACTGGCGGAAGATGAGATCTCTGGCAACCAAAACAACAATGGAGGTGGGAGGGGCATGTCAGGACAGAAGAAAGATATCAAGGTCATGTCATAGAGAGCCTGGAGAGCCATAACAGATAACCAAGATTTTACCCTAAATGCAATAGGAAGCCATCAAAGGGTCTTGGATGGAAAAGCGTATGTTTGATTCATGTTTAAAAAAATTAATTTTGGCTATGTGGGGAATTACTGGAAAAGGGTAAGAGTGTAAATGGAAACACAGCTAGGAGACTATTTCAGCAGTACAGACAGATGCTACGACCAGGAAAGGATATGCGTGTGGCGGTGGGGGTAGTCAGTATGAAGATGGCAAGAAGCGAACGATGTATTTTGAAGACTTACTGGTGGATTGAATATGAGGGAATGGTAGGAGTTATTTATGACTCCCACTGTCAAAGATAAAGAAAGCCAGACACTAGTTTTTATCAGTGATAACTAACTACTCAGGTAGGGAAAAGAGTTCACTGTGAACTGAATTCAACCTTGCTTGTTGGTACAGAGGTGACTGGGTGTTTTAGAGGAAAAAATGAGGGAATAGGATGAGCAGGGTCTCAGCTGAGTCAGGGAAACGAAAATTTTTAAGTAGTTAGGCAGTGTAAATGCAATTTTACCCTCCTGCGGAGACTGGGAGACAGACGCCCTATCCTCAGGCGTTGGCGGAAACAAATGGTAAAAAAAAAAAAAAAAAAAGCAGCTTTGAGTTTTCTTAAGTAGGAAGGGCCATTTTAGGAATGTGGCCTTGAACTGTTACGAACTCTGTTAGTGTTTGTTCAAGCCTTTATAGACCAAGTTTGAGGCCTAGTTGAGAAGAGGGCCCACAGGAGGCTGGCTAGAGTTTGGTCAAGGAGAGAGAGAATCTTTGTCGCCGTGTTTTTGGTTTTAGTTTTAGTGAGAGGGTGCTTGGTGGTGTCATTCACAGAGACAGGGAAATCTAAGGGGCAACAAGGCTTAGAATCTAAAGGAGACTTAATCCTGTGTTGGATATGTTAAGTTTGAGACATTCAAATGGGTGGGAAGTTAAACATAAGAATAGATCACACAAGAGAAGTCTGGGCTGGAGCTATAAATCAAGAGCTGTCAGTGTGATGTAACTCAGAGATCACACAGGGAAGAGTGGGAGTTAGAGATGAGAGGGAGGCCCTGGGATTTGCCTAACAAATTCCTCCCTGAGATCTGTTTCCAGAAAAGTATCATTGTTAGGTATATGGTTGTATTTCTAATGGTCACACAGTAAAATGAACAGAATAACAGTGTTGCTGTTAAATGTTTGGAGGTTTTTCTTTTGATTTCAAATCTATTTCTATTTGCTATAGCCCCCCAAATTACATTTATCGAACACTATTGTTATCCCCATTTTATATGGAAAACTGAACATCCTTATGTGTCTTGTGAAGGAAGTCAGTGTGCCCAAGGTGACAGAAAATTAGTAAGGGTTGGGTCCTCTACTCAAAACTAAGCAATGTGGTTCCAAACTCTGTTTTCTGAACTGTCACTATATGGCACACAGTAACATAGCTTGGTGTATTTATTTAGTGGGTCATAAATAATAGACTTTACATATATAATAGTTCCAATAAGAGTTTTTATTGGATCTCTGTGCTCATGTGTGCCTGTCTGGATTACTAGGGTTGAAGCACTATTCATCTGGTAGATGTGCCTCAAGGTACTAGACAAATTCTAGGTAGAGTAAACTGGCTTCACTACACCAGTCCTGGAGCTTTAAACCCTTAAAATCAAATAAACACAATTTTTTAAAAAATGCAATTGCACAGGACACTTAGGTTTGCTGTGCCCTGTGGCATCAAACTGAAGTCCTAGTCCTGGACATGATCTACTGTCAGGGAAATGATAGTATTTTTCACTGTTACACACTAAAGCTTTTCCCTCCACAGAAATACGTACAGTGTTGACACTAAATTCACACTGTTGGCACAAATATTAAAGAGTTCCTTCAGCGCAGGAATTATTCTATTTCATCTTTATTTTTTAAACCATATACTAGCAATCTTGGAGCCCCAGGGACACTCGACTGCCCAGAAAAGAGGAGGGGTGATGATAAAAGGAGGAATTCACAGCAAACCGTTCTACTGGATACTTTTAGGTGAGCACGATGCCCTTCAAGGGCATCTCGGTTTTTTGCTTTTGTTTTTTAAGTTTTCCCCATTTATGGGGTGCAGAAACGGCCTGATCCCATCTTAAATACCGGTAACTTTCCTTTCCCTCGCTCTCCCCGTTTCCCGTCCTCTGACCCCCTTCCGTGGCCTCGGGCCCCGCCCACGCCTCCCACTCCAGCCTCAGGCCCCCAGCCTCGCGGGCCTAGGCACTGCGCCTGCGCACACAGGTAGCCCGGCCGATGGCCCTCGGGGCGGGGTCTCAAGCTGTCGGAGGAAGAGGAAGAGGAAGTTGGGGAGGGTCCTAGCGGGGAGTGAACCGGAAGTGTAAGCGCTCCAGCTTCTTCTCCGCTGGACTGAACCTGCTCGGTTGGGCCCGGTGGCTGCAAAAGAACTTTCTCCCGCCCCAACGGTCGCTGCGGCCAACTGCCTCGCCCGCCTGGCAGCCTCCCCCGCCTTCTCTTCTCCTCTCTGGCTCCGCGCGGGCCCGTCTCCCTCTCGCCCGGCAGTATCCGCTTGCTCCTGCCACCACCTCCTCGTCTTCTGCCCGGCTAACCGGCCCGCCCAGCTGCAGTGATGTGCGACAAGGAGTTCATGTGGGCCCTGAAAAACGGGGACTTGGATGAGGTGAAGGACTACGTGGCCAAGGTAAACGGCGGCGAGTGCAGTAGGCAAGCACGGAGGCGGGATGGAGAGGAGGCTGAGGAAGCTGATGGGAGCTGGGCTGGCGTGGGTGGGGGTGGGGGGCGACGGCCAACTGGATGGAGGTGGCTCGGAAGAGAGGGGAGTCAGGACGTCTAACCTGGAGGAAGGGCCCCGGTAACACGGTCCTGTGCCGGGTAACTGCTGTGTGGCTACAGCCAGGCCTTTCGTGTTCTCCTGACCCCTGGGGGAAGGGGAGGAGTGGTACCCTCACTTTTGAGTACTGATTATTTGAGTTCGGCCCTTTGCTAAGTCAGAGTTACTTAAATCTTCCTTTGGATGAAGTAATTCTCCATCTTGAACCTGCCTGTTACTGACTGAATGAAGTGGCCTAAGTGATTCGAATCAGAAGAACTTTTTGTTCATTTGTTTTAACTGTGGGCCCGTTAATGAATTCAACGTACTCATTGACCGTGAAAAAGAGTACCAAAATTAGCAGTGGTTAAAATTCTGAAACTTGGTATCACTTCACTGCCGAATCTTAACTTTGGGTGTGGCCTTTTCCTCTCCCCCTCGACCACAAATACTTATTTGCTTCAAGTAGGGAAGCTTATCAGTTAGCATATGAGTGTTTAAGGTACCTGAGTAGTTTACCAACTCGCATGTTAACTTTAGCTACTCCCATCTTTTTCCTTGATTCCATCTGAAATGCTTACACGTGTAACAGACAGTAACGCAAGTATAGCCACAGTGTATTTGAAGGTAAAACCATGATGAGGACGGCTCATCTCAACTAAACTCACAATATAAAACCGAATCCACATTGTGGTAGACTGGTAAAAATCCAAGCCGGCCTGCCTTTGGACCCTAAAATTGTGCCTTTTGTAGTTAGGAGAGAACTTACATGTGATTTTGATATGATGATAATCTAAAAAGAAATCAACAACAAAAGTACAATTTTATAACGTAATCATGAAGGTCATCTGGCTCACGAAAGAGAGGGAGAACCCAGTCTAGGTTGTAGTTCTTCAGAGGGTATGACCGCTACTGTGGCGTTGTTTTTGCTTCCGAGATCTGCGTTAGGAAGCAAGTAAGCAGAAGCAGAGTTTCTTAAAACCTGTAGGATTGTGCAAGGCAAAGTACTGGTAGTTTTTAGTCTCTTGAATACCATTGTAGTTTTGCCTTTTTGCATGCAACTTATCTCCTTAGTTGTTCATTTCAGTGGCTCCTTAGGACACTCTTCACTGCCTCCTCAGCTAGTGGAAGGAAGTCTGAAACCCAACTTACTGCGTATTTCAGTGTAAGATTATAGGGAAGAGCTTACTTGGGACACTTGAGTCTGGTTTACACTTTCCAGTGCGGGGGCACCGCAGTACCCTGAAAGTGAGTGGCTTTTGTTTTTCCTGTTATTGTGAAACCTTGAAATGCAAAAAGTTGGTAAGTAACTAAACTTACAGTTACGAAAAAATACAATTTATGTAGTATCTTCCTGGCACATTATTTTTTATTGCCCTTGGGAGCCTTGTGAAGTAAGTCCTTTCGTTAGTCCCATTTTACAGATAAGATTACTGAGATGCAGGGTACTTATGAAAAAAAAATCCAAAGTTACAGTGATTAAAAAGAAAAAGAAAAAAGGTGATGAAGCCAGAACTCAACTGCTGACTCCAGAACTTAGAGTCTTTAACCCCTCCATGTAGTTTCTCCCAGTCTGAAATGTGGTTGCAAAGCACATGACACCAAGATTTCTAGTAGGACATGCCCAAGATCCACATCCAGGCAGATAAACTGTCCATGAAAAGCTGCCAGTCACACAGAGACATTTATGAGAAAATAACGTGCCAAGAACGATGGATTGGTTTGTTTTCAGGTTTTTTAATTAGGTCATTCAGTTTGATTTTGCCTTTTTCCTGTTACCACCACACTGCCTACTCTCATCAACAACAGAGATGCGCACAAAGGGGAGGATAGACATGCAAAGAAAAGTAGAAGGAAGTAGCAAGAAATTTGGATCCAAGAAGGTTGGACTGTAATGTAATCCTGTGAACAGATCATTGAGCTTTTTCCTTTCTTAGTTTTGTTTTTGTTTGTTTTTTTGGCCTCAGTTGAGGACATTTTTCCCATTGCTTTCAGAGAGAGAGGGGAAAGGGGTGAGAGAGAGAGAGAGAGAAACACTGATGTGAAAGAAGAACATTGATGAGCTGCTCCTGCATGCTGCCTGACCAGGGGCCAAACCTGCAACCTGGACATGGACCCTGCAGGGGAATCCAACCCGCGACCTTCTGGTCCACGAGACAACATTCCAGCCCGCTGAGCCATACTGGCCAGGGCTTCTTGCTTGGTTTTGATTGCGTAACTTGAGTCTCTTAAAATATTTTTCGCCTTGTTATTGAAAAATAACAAAACAACCAACAACTAGCACTCCATTTTCAGTGGACTGAGCTCCCTCACTGTGCCCATTCCCTCTCCAGCCCAAATCACGCGGCTGCTTCGGATTGGTGGCCATCTTCCCAGCTCATTCCTCAACTCATCGCCTTCTTCATCCACCGATTTATGAGCACTCACCACCATTTTCTGAGTGTATGTAATGTGCATTTATCTGAGCGTGTGCAAAGAAAGTGTATTTTAAAAATTGGATTTGTCTAGTTTTCCTCCTAAGGGGTTAGAGTCTTTAAAATACTCTCCTCTGTTCTCCTGGGACGATCTCTCATTGTTAACATAAGTGAAGCATTTTAGTAGTCATCCTTTTTAAAATTAGTATTTTTTAAAAAACCAGTAATTGTACTTCTGTACCTGTTTCTGGCTTGTATACAGAAGTGTGAAGTATGGATAGGCAGAAGTTGTTGGTTTTGGGTGAATTTCTGAACTCTGAAGAAACCAGTTCAGAACTCCCACACCATTGAAAATTGTGTGGTTCTAAATGGGGGCGGGGGGACAGCATGTAAAGAAAACTTTAGGTTACTCCCCGTTAACTGTTAATCTGTAACATTAAAACAATATCTGAAGCATTTTGGCTTCTTGACTGACCTGAAGACCATATTTGGTTACTTTAGTGGGTCCCTCTGAGTCTCAGTCCCAGGCACTTCGCTAGGCCTGGCGTGATGGTGAAGGCGTTGGACAAAATGCTTGGGAAACTCGAGCATCTGTATTCAGCAGACGCATGTGAAAAAGCTTTCACACTTCAAAGTGGTATACAGATTCTAAGTAACATCTCCCACAAAGTTCAGTTTGTCCAGTTGGAAAAGAAATGGAAGCCAGAAAGAAAGATATTCATGGGCAGCGGTAGTGGACACTCACAGCCCCATTTTCGATCTGTATGGTTCTTCCAGGTGACAGTCTCTTTGCCTTCCTCTTCCATTTCTGCCTTTGTGTTAATTTCTCCCATTGGAATTCATTCAGCCGTCACTGGAGTTCCAGAATGGATAGCGCCGTTCAGATAAATCCCAAATTGAGCATCTGTTTTCTTTTCAAAAATTATTTGTGTTGTATCCATTTTGACTAATGGCATCATGACCCAACCATTTGCCCAGACTAGAAATTGGGGGGGTCATCCCAAATTTCTCAGTGTTATCAAGACTACCTTCTTTGTCTCATTTTCTCCTTACTCTCCATTCATTTGCTCCTACTGTAGATCAGTTGTTGCCTCTCTCCTGCTGAGACTGGATTTTCCTTGACTGTAGTTTTCCCCTCTCGCCTGGTCAGCTTGCACCAGGACCTCTCTGTAATGTGAATCTGAGCATGTTGTCCTTTTTAGCCAACCTCCTTCACTTTCTTAAAATATATTTGTGATTCCCCATTATTTTTAAATGGCCAGCTCTTCCTTGATTTGCATACGTGGCTGATCCCATCTGGCCTTGCCTGCCTTTCTGAACTTGCCTCTGTCCAAGCTGCGCTCTGCTCCGGACCCTGCCGTGCCCTGCGTCTTATGTGTCTGTCTTTACACTGTCATCCTCTTTGACCGAGTCTGCTTGCCTCAATCCCTACCTCCCAACCTGGTGAGCTCCTGTTCATCCTCTTCGCTTTACATGTCGCCTCTTCCAGAAGAACGTTTCCTCTTCATATGGTGTGCTGCTGCTTTTAGTGTTTCGCTTATCAAATTGCCGTGCCTTTGTTTACATGTCTGTTTTTAATTAGGCTCTGAGCCTCTGGAGGCTGCATGCTATATTCTTTTTCATCTTTGTATCTCCAGTGTAGTGCCAAGAAATTTCACACATTAAAAGCCTATGTTCTGAGTAAGAAATTCTTTTTACTCATAACTTAGCTACAGTGACAACATACTTCATTAATTATAGAATGATAATTACCATTGACAGGATGGCTTATGTGGCCAGGTGCTTTAAAGCACTCTGCAAGATTTTTGTATAAACTCTCATTTGCTTTTTACCACAGCATTTTAATATAGGTAATAGTATTCCCATTTTAAGGATAAGGAAATTGAATTTAGAGAAATTAAGTAACTTAACAAGGTCACAGAGTAAGTAGCACACTGGAATTTGAACCCAGAACTGCCTGAATTTACAGCCCATGTATTTTTCACTGTATCAGTCAGCCTTGAAATGGCTTTCTGGCTCCTTAGCTCACCATGGGTTAGCATCAGCACATGAGGAAAATGAGAAAGGGGCTTGCCGAAGACAGGCACAAATTGTCTCTGACGATGAATAAAAAGTAGAAAGATGGCTACCATTAAACATCTTTAATGTAACAAGTTGAAAATAGCACAGAGACAGCAACACATCAGCTCTGTAAACTTGAAATCTCATCACAGGCTGTCTTTACTCAAGAGACTGTTTGATAGCTTGTGGAGACTGTTTTGTATGTATAGTTACACATAGTTTTGTGTTATTTGGTTTGTAATTAGGATTACATACAGGACAAAAAAGTCAAATTGTGTCTGTTTGCCTTAGGAAGAAACTAAAGTATTACAATTACCTTCCAGACTTGTTTAAATTAAATAAACAGCACTTTTTTCAAAAGTATGTTTTTAAAATTGTCTGTATTTGAGTAGTGTA